CGAGATGCCTGGGTTTAAGGTTTAGAGTTTAGGGTTTAGGGTTTAGGGTTCAAGGTCTAAAAAGCAGCACCTAAACCAGGATCCTCAAGCCCAACTTGCCCACTACCCTTAAGCCTTGAGGCCCCAACCCGAAAACCCCACAGAGCTACAGGCAATATTTCCCACATATTTAAGGAACGCGGGCTCCTGGCAGGGAATATTGTAAGGACTATACGACCACAACAGAAGAGAAACCTATGTCCACCCTTAGTGGGCCCTTGGTAACCCAAAACTCTAAACCCTAAATCCTAAACCCTGATCCCTAAACCCTCAGTGGTCCTTTGGTAAACCAAATATTGACAGAGGCTCACATCAGCTGTAATCTAAACTCCTAGTATCCCCCTCATTATAGTAGTCCTTGCATAAAATCCCCTATATAACCTCCTTTAAGAAGTTGAGATTATAGCTCACATATTCCCTCATCCCTTGACTCTGACATCGGAACCCAAACAAACCCAACCCCTACTTGGAGGGTCCGGGGACTTAGTAAGTAGCTAGATAATGGGGATACTTGGGGTTACTATATGGGCTATATGGGTTATTAACTTACTTACTCTGGGCCTAAGTCATCTATCACGTAAGGCCTTCCCAATTTAAATCCCTCTTGGGTGGTCATTCTAATCGCTCTCAACCCTAACCATGAAACCCTTAACCCTTAATACATGCGAACCCGAAATCTCGTCTCAGCCACTTCGGGTGTCGTAGGTGCCGACTTCTCAGGTTCTTGCGCAGGTGCGGCAGGCTCCGGCGCAGAGGCAGGGGTCTCCTTTTTGCAAGAAGGGTAGGGTTTGAGTTTAGGGTTTAGGGTTTGGGGCTTTGGGGATTTGTTCAGGGTTTAGGGCTAAGGGTTGAGGGTGTGAAGGATTGGGGAATTGGGATGAGAGCTTCAGGTTTTAGAGTTTTAGGGTTTGAGGTTTAGCAGGGCTGAGTTAGGGATTAAGGAGTAGGATTGAAGGTTTCAAGACGGGTGAATGATGCGACTGCGATTCAGGATCAAGGCGGATTACATAGACTCGTCATGTGAAGATAGGAGACTTGGGAGTTTAAATGATTTTAAGATTTCGGATATATGAGACATGCTTGCCCGTTTTGGGAATAACTTGACAGTTTCTCCAAGGCGCCCCGACTGCGGTCTTATGATGGGTTCGTGCTGTAAGAATTCACCCGGATTGCCAGTCAAGTTTGGGGGAGGGGGGTCGAAGTTCACGGGATGGTTTCCAGGAGGCCCGGATTGTTGCTTTGTGGGGTGTTGAACGCTCCTGTTTCCTGGAAAGCCCAAAACCTCAACTCCAATGCAAAACCAGAACCCTAACCCCCTGACATTATTCTCCATACTCTTTCAGGGTTTAGGGCTTTGTTGAGGGCTAGCAATTGAAGAATTTAAGAGTGAAGGGGTAGGGGTTTAGGTCTTGAGGCTTTGCAGCACTGTGAGGAAGAACAGAAACAGAGGTTGGAAGAAGAATCAACGGCAGGCACGTTCATTCGTATGGTGTTCAGAGTTCGGGCTTGAGGGTCCTAAGACATCTTTCAAAATCAAAGTGGTTCCACATGGCACTTCACAGACACTCAGCACAGTTGTAGAAAATGTCTCAGCACACATCAGTGACGTCGATCCAATTGTACTTTAAGAAACTATGAATTGGGATCCCATCATACATGCAGAATCAAAAGTATAGACCAAATCACATTTCGAGCAACCATGCATGCAGGAACGGTGTTTGGCTTCAGGGTTTAAGGGGGCAATCTTTCCCAAACTGTTTTTCCAGGGACCACGTGGCCAAAAAATGCAGATGCAATCCCACCATAGTCTGCGCGAAGCCCATGAAAAAATCCTATAGGCAAACTGAAATTGCATCATGCGCCCACACCCGCAAAAAGGCATGTTAAGCGTGGTTAAGGATCAAAACAACCCTAAATAGCCCTAAACTTTAAACCCGATACCCCTAAACCCTAGACCTTAAACCCTAGACCTGGAGGGAGGAGAGCAGCAGGCACTCTCTACCCCCTCAAATGCAAAGCTGGACACTTGAACTCTTTACCCCAAACCTAGACCTAAACCGCAAATGAACCCTGAACTGTACACCCTAACACCTAGCCAACCGACACTGAAGCCTAAACGCAGCACCTGAGTCCTCAAAATGCAAACCTTACAAAACCCTGGGACCCTCAAGAAGCCTGAAACCTACACCCCGTTATGATCATGCTTACTGTTCTTATCATTGCAAGTCTTCGGATTAGTACTACTATAGTTATTGCGATTATTATTACTACTAGAGACATTGTAATTCTATTTATGCATTCCGTCCAAGGCCTCTTCCTTCATCGCTGGTGGACTAGGTACAAGCACCTCCTCAGCGGTGGGAACCTGCGTTAAGATTTGGCAAAGGTTTCGGGGTTCAGGAATTTGGTGTCATTATGTATCATTTAAGAATGTTGGGTGCTATGGTCTCGGATTCAAGGTTGTAGGCGTCAAGATTGTAAATCTCAGAGAAAGAGTGTTTGACATAGTTGCAAAACCCCTCACAGCTTACACATCCCCTGAACGCAGGCATCACCAAACGCAAATGAATCTTTCAGAAATTGCTTAGGGAATGGGCTCACAAGTAGTGGAAAAGGAGAATTTGGTCTGGGGTGGGCGCATTGTTTTTCTTTATCAATGACACGTACATAGAAAAAGCCAATTCGTTCTCCACACTCCAAAGCCAAAAGCTTGGGCCGCCAATATGGACCCCGAACCACGGGGTTCCTAACACATCCCCGTATGTATCCCCATCTGTGGAAGAAATCTTTCGGTGCAATGATCATTCAAAGAGCAACCGATTCAACCCAGCAATGTTCGAAGACTGTGGAAACACAAAACGAAAGCACACTCCAAGCAGTAAGGATCAAGAGAAACCAAAAAACACGCACGTCCTGACAGCAGAATGAAAGCCCTCACTCAGATGAAACCTAACTCAACTAAACACTGGACATCCCTTTCTGTCCGCAAACCCATTCGTTGCATGAAAGGGCGATTGAAACAATGAATCCAAGTTCACCGAACCACCTAACTCCTTGCATATGATTACAATCTTTTAATAACTGGAATCGTTCTTTGCGTAAAATTCCCCATGGACCCCCTGCAGCGCCTCGGAAGCCATGCAGTTGCCCATTGTGAATGGATCCTGTATTTGAGGCAGCAGACATTTGGAGTTGGGGAATTGGTTACGGATCCATCGGGTTCAGGCTTAGGGCTTAGGGTTTCGGGTTCCTTAAACCCAAACCTTGAACCAGGCTTCGGGTTTCGGATTCAAGGTTTCAAATTCAAATTTGGTGTTTCGGATTGTCCAAGAGGCAACTACTAGATATCAGAAGCCTTGAAATTTGCGGTTTAAAGTTCGGCGATTTTTTAAGACCCCATTTACACATACACAAAAGCCGTGGTGCAGGCTGGGGCTTCTGCCGAACTGCAGATTTGGGAGTTGTGGCTTGGGGGGTGTTGGGTGAACGTTTGGGACTTCGGAGGCTATAGACATGACCCAATGGCAGTGCTGTGACATCCATTCAGGAATCTGCGACCCATGATGATGAAATTTGAAAATCCTCAAATCCAGCTTGCTGTCCAGGAGCAGAGTACCACCGATCGAGCAAGACAAAGGACACGCACAGGGCTAGTGGCCGGCAACTGGGAGCCAAAAAGGAATGACCATACACAAGTGCGCACAAATTGAATGCGAACAAAGGTTCGGGGCATGACAATCCCCTTCCCGGAACATGAACCCCCCGACCTGCCCTAATAATATATATATTATCTCGATATATATATGTGT